GGTGGGTGGGTGTGGGTCGAACGGTGCGAAACAACTTCTACGATTACATTATATTGTTATCACCACGACCGGGGAAAGGGAAGCCGTGAAAGTATAATAATATATTGAATACACCCTCTAATATAATATGTGTATGTACAGCGTGCAAATCGACGATTGTACTTAATAATATTATTATACTTCGTACATTAAAAAAAAAAAATATTTTCAATACACTCTATGGTATATATAATATGATATTATGCGCATCTATAAATATACGCATTATAGCGATTAGTACATATACGAGTGTGTGTAAGTGTATGTGTGTTGTATTTTATAGTTATTATTTTTATTATTATTATTATTATTATTTCGACGGACTACATTATATTATAATATTATTATTGTTTACATCGTTATGATTAATATGTTATAAATTTATAATATATATATATATATATGCATTGGAGATGTGAAAACTGCGCATAATATTTCGCACTTCGCCTAAGACGGTTTTACATTATTCTTATTTTTATAATATTATATTATTTAGTTGCGGCGATATGTCACATATTATTATTATTATTATTATAACATATTATACACCTCGTATACAGTGTGCGTCATCGGCAGTACGATACGTATGGAGAATACGTGTTATGTGCGATTATTATAATATTATATTATTATATAAATGTATTATCGATATCGATGTTTGGCGGCGGGAAAAATCAAAATATTTAGTCGTTATATTATAATATATTTACGCGTATGCGGTACGATCTAATCGCAGGGCACACAGGTAAAAAACGCACGACAAATAATGTCCCCGCCGCCGGACCTGAAAACACTTCCGACGTCATTGAAGGAGGTTTTTATTTCGAATTATTATATTATTATCATTATTATTATTATACGATTATTGTTGTTGATTTTAATGCTACCGTCGGTTGTCGATTGACGACAACGGCGATGACGACGACAACAACAACAACAACGACAACAACAACAACAACACAACAACGGCGCAATACGCGCGTATGTAGTTCATGATCAAATCATATTTATATCGTCATCGTTTGTGCGGGGGGCGGCTTCGGGTGCTTTGCGTTCAGACGTTGAATATGTACGACACGTTGGTCTCCTGGCTGGACTGCCGCTTGGTGTACGCGTGGTGATTGGTGATGTAGTACGAGGACGCCTTGCCGCCGCCGTTTCCGCTGGCGGACGCCGAGTGCTGCAGGTTCTCGTTGTACCGGAGCGTGCCGCAGCACCGGCGGCTCTGGAGCACCGCGGTGAAGCCGCGCCGGAACTTGCGGTTGAAGAACGCGTACAGCACCGGGTTGATGCAGCTGTTGGACGCGCCCAGCCACTGCGCGATCGGCGTGGCCACCGGCAGGAAGTCCTCCTCCCACGGCACCAGCCGGCCGCCCAGCTTGATCCGGGCGAATATCGCGTACAGCGGCATCCAGGACGCGACGAACAGCACGACCACCATGGCCAGCATCTTGACCACCTTCACCTTGCTCTGTTGCTGGATGCGCTCCATGCGCGCGCACTTGTTGTCCGTGGGTATGGTCCGCCGCCACACCTTCACCCAGATCATCGCGTAGCACAGCGATATGGCCACCGTGGGCACCACGTAGCACAGGCCTAGGTTGCCGAGCAGGAAGTACAGGTTGCCGTCCAGGTAGTCCGGCCACACCTCCAGGCACAGTTCCAGGCTCGGGGCGTCCTTGAATATGGCCACCATGTCGAAGAACAGCGCCCACGGTATGGTGATGGTGGTCGACGCCAGCCAGATGACGCCGATGATGTACCGGGCCCGGCGCGTGGTGATCTGACACTTCAGCGGATACCAAATGGCCAGGAACCTGTCAACGAAACAACCGTCGTGTCAATATTATTTAGGTCGATAATGATGAATGAGTTTATTGCAACAATTTTTAACATCGAAATTGCACTTTTGTGCACACTTTGCGGCACCCCCTCCCCCCTGTGGCAATCAAAACTCGGGAGCAGTTTTTAAAATAATAATCAGAGAACATTATAATAGAATAAAAATATATTGTACAGAATAAACGTAATTATTAATAATAATTGGGGACGAATAGAAAAGATTAAGTTCCGTTTTAAATAATTGCTGTGAGATATATGGACATATCGTACACAATGCATAACAATATTACGTTCGATTAGGTCTATGAGTGTTACATACTTAATATTATACTGTTTTGTCGATTTTACAATTAATTTATACGCGACGCGATGGTGCCGGAGAAAATAAAAAAAAAGTCGTATTATTATGAAACCAATATTATAATGCAGGTGATGAAAGTTCAACGACGAGTCGTCTACTCTTCTCGACAAGAACGATACTATAAATAATATATTATTATACCTACCTATATGGCTGTACCTATTGAGGAAAAGTGTTGTTTTATTTTTACTGTAAACCTACTTAAAGTTAGTTCCTCTGCACTTTCGGGAGCCATGTAATAGTTAACTCAAAATATTTCAGATTTGTAATATTTATTTTGGCCTCGGACGGTGTTATGGAACGTAGTTAAATCCATTTCGGTTTGAAAGACAGGCCAAAAGATTATTACGATTTTACCCTATCCAATCAACGACGCCAACGACCGCATCAACAACAACCTAGCGTTGAAAACTACATTAATTTACAAAATGTCAGGATAAATTAATTATTACGTCCAGTGTACGTAAGGATGAGACGAATGATTTTGTAGCTGTCGTTCTAGGGAGGGCCTAATATATTTAATATTTTACTAACATACGCATCAACGCCCACAAGAACCTATGACATAATATTTATATGGTTGGAAGCTATTGGCAGCCACATTTAATGACAATATAATAATTTACCTCCACGCAGTCTACTATACACGTCCAGACAAGTGGTACACCTAATATAGTAATAATGACAAAATAACGTTTTAAAATGAAAACTCGTGTTTTTGACAGCACTCGAACACAATATTTTTGGACCGGCAAAGGGCGTTCGTGTACGATGACGCGTTATGATTTATTATTATTATTATTATACAGCTCAGTAGGAGTTCTAAAAAAAACTTGGAAAAGTGCGTGTGTGCATCTGCTGTACGGGTCTTCGAGATAAAAAAAAATACACATGACAATAAAATATATAATTTAATAATAGTGCTGATCCGAATGGCGATTCACTACCAAATATTATCGTTATCATGCAAGTGTGACAAAACGTATATGGCCTATCCGGATCGAACAGCGCCATCTTTGAAATAATAATATTATGTTGCCTGAGATGCCGTTTTGTAGACAATATTCGAAAAATACGCAGCTCGAAGACGGCTTTAACGACCACATTTATACGTGCGTGAAGTTGCCCCCCCCCTTTAACCTAGGAACTTCAAACCACTTTAGAATAATTGCTCCTTATTTGCTAGAATTTGCTATGGAGTTTTTAGAATTTGCATGGTTTTGATTTCCTCAGAAAACAAATTTCTTATCTGGGGGGGGGGGGATAACTTCAACTCAGCCCCCACACTTCAATCCAGGAACTTCCAACCACTTTAGAAAAATTGCTATTTATCTGCTAGAATTTGCTATGAAGTTTTTAGAATTTGCATGGTTTTTTTTATTAATTTAGGCATTTAATCAAATTAAGCATATTTTTTATTCAATTTAGATTTTTATATAATTTAGATTTTCTATTAGTATTATATTTTATTGTATTTTAGGATTTTATTTAATAAAGAATATTCTTTATTAATTTTAGATTTATTATTAATTTACGCTTTTTATAAGAATTCAATTTTTTTATTAATTGAGAATTTTTATTAATTTTTTAATAATTGAGAATTTTTATTAATTTTTTTATTAAATTCGACTTTTTATTTAATTATTTAATAAAGATTATTTCTTATTCATTTTGATTTTTATTTATATCACATTTCTAGTAATTTAGGTTCATTTATTAATATCACATATTTTTTATTAATTTAGGATTTTTATTTAATCAAGAATATGTTTTATTCAAATTATATTTTGATTATTAAAATTTATTAAAATTATTATTTTTGTCCTCAACTTGACTTTTTAATGAAATAATATTTTCAATTCATCGTCTTTTTTTATTCCTGTTGTATTGTTTTATTAAATATCAAATAACTTTTTTTATTCAATTTAGAATAATTTCTCAAATATAGATTTTTATCTAATTAGAATAAAAAAACTGAATAAATTATTTACACAAAATGTTCATAAAATATAGGCAATCAGTCCTTATTATATAAAATAATATTTATTTTACAATATTTTTAATTCAATAATCATACCGATTAATACTGAAGATTAATCTCTGATGGTGAATTGGTGAAGCAATGAAGGTATTATTGGATATTATAATATGCTTAAGTAACTTATTAAAAGTGATTATTTATACTATCAATCGATTTGTATAAATTATAAAACCACCTTATAGTTTGGAACTAATTTCACGACTTTCGTAAACTATTTCTATAATAACAAGCGAATACAAATTTATGATTATAGGTAAATTAATTTAATAACATAGATTAAATCCGAACAACATTACAACTTAACATTCGAGGTATTCAACTAATTTATTTTATTTCCATTTTTCTTCTCGTTTCAAATCAATAATTATTTACAATGAACTGCCCACTTTAAAACAAATCCTCGAAAAAAACTGAATATATCTAGAAAAGAAGTTAAATAAAAAAATCAAATTTTAATAAAAAAACCTAAATTAAATAGTTATATAAGCATATAATATCCAATAATATCTTTATCGCTTCATCAATTCACCATCAGAGATTAATCGGTGTGATTATTGAATTCAAAATATTGTAAAGTAAATATTATTTTATATAATTAGGACTGATTGCATATATTTATAAACATTTTGTGTAAAGAACTATAGGTAGAACACGGTCAATTTATTCAACTTGCAAAGGATGATGCTGATAGTGATAGTAAATTATGATAACAAAGAGTCGACATTTTTGTTCATATTGTTCGAATATAATAATAATATAAAAAATCGGGTATGCAGCGAATTCAAGGATTAAGACATTAAGACATTTTTTTTATTCTTTCTATTGCAACTCAATATTGTTTTTTTGACATAAGGTTTTCAATTATATTTTATTTATCAAAGACAATAATTATTATTATGCTCGATCAAGTTTTATCGTCGAGTCGTTGTATGGCAATAAGTTATTCGCTAATACATAATATAGACTCAATCACAACATACGAGTACAATGTCAAAGATTCGACATAATATTATTATCGAATGCTGAGCTAATTCCACTTCGGCTGATACTAAGGCGAAATATCAACTTACATGGAAATGAAAATGTAAAAAAAAAAAGGAAAAATTAAATACGATTCTGGTATACATAATTTAATATATAGTTATATATTTCTGAACAGTTATATTGTTTTAAATCGCTGCTATACAAACAACTGCATTTATGAACTGTGCCTGTGTTGTTTTTGCACAATATTCCGGCCAGGGTTATGGTAAGAACAAATATATAATCCATTGACCTTCTTGTCCTCAGTGATATCATTTCACGAGAATATAAAATCAATAGTTTACCGTGATCACTGAAAAACCTTAAGTAATTGTGTCAGCTATCACAGTGGAACATTGTCAGTGAAAACTATTTATTAGTTAATTAAATGAGATAATTGTTTAGTTTTTTGCAAATATTTAAGCGTTTAATAATTAAATAAAGTTCGATTGATGAACTAAAGTAAACAGGCGTAGACCATATCACTCACACATTTTTTTCAGCTCAAGTTAAAAAATCTAACCTTAAGAATTTTTACAAAAATACTGTATTATTGAGGTCACGATTCGAGTATTTGTTTAAAGTTTTACTTATCTCTCGTTTTACATAATGCATAGGATTAGCAGATTTCAAGCTTTCTAATTTTTAGCCAATTCAACCACTTTTAAACAAAAATAATATTCTTGTGAAAAAAACCAATTTTGTACAGTGAAAAGTGCTGAGCTAATCAAAAATAATTTATCACTATAATTAGGTTACGGAATTGTGTAAATATACATTGGCAATAATGAGCAATTAAAAAATCCATCCAGTTTCAGAAATGTAAATTAGCCAAACAAAATTTAAAATTTCTGACTTCGGATAGTTAGCTTTTACGGTTATATCTTAATTATAATTATTATAATTTCAGACTTATTATACCACAGTCTTGTAAAAAATACTTAAAAAATTATGTTTAAATGCAGACACAAATACATCCATTCAAGAAGAATTTAAAATAAACTTCAAAATTTCTAATACTATTTAGTAAAATATTATTTATTTAATTGTACGAGTAGGTAAGAAAATAAATATTGTAATTAGTAATTAATTATTTGAAGTTGTAATATCAAGTTTAACTATCATTAGAAATTTGTACTAACTACTCCATTTTATACTGAAAAATGAAAATAAACAAAAATGTATTATAATGTAATTTGAAAATACTTAAGTATTATAATTAAACAAAAAAAAAAATTAATGAAATATAAAATAAGTGTTTAATGCTTTAATGATTTGATTTTAATTATAAATAAAATAATTTAATGATCATAAAAACAATTTAAAATGCTACGAATAATTCTTTTGAGTTTTTAAAATAATTTATATAAAAAGATTTGATTTTGATGTTCAAATACATCCAACCCAGTAGGTATTTAAAATACTTTCCAAATTCTTCATTATAAAAGTATTTAAAAAGTATTCTAAATAAACTTTTACTCTAATGTTTCACAAAACTCATATTGTATACTATAATAATTCTGCACAGCTTGTACCATGTTTATTCATAA